AAAAATTACAGAAAGAGAGAGAGATGGAGGGAGAGACCAAGGTGGAGTGGAAAGGAATAAAATCTAAGCTTCTCTCAATGTCTTGTTTCATGGATTTGATTTGGGAATCACATAATATTTTGCAAAATTTTTTAAATTTTGTGAAGTTAAATAAAAAAAAGGAGGGAAAAGCCATTTTAAAAACCAAAAACGAAATGAAATTCAACCATACCAAGAACTATTTCAAGTGACTTTAAATTACAGCAATTTTCTGTTCATCTCTAATGGAATATCCTACGGAGGAGAGGAGATTGTGAAGAGACAGAGAAATGCCAAGAAATTACTAGTCTAGGAAATCATATGCTAGTAATGATATTGATACTGTTATTTTAAAACTGTATTTGCTTTAGTGTAGTAAGTGTAAATATTTGTTATTTAGAAACAACATTTTCAGCATAAGAAATCAGATACAAAGGTAAAATCAAGGAAGTAAAAACCCTGCATTAAAAAATTCAAATCATAAATATCGGTAAAAACTCATGACATATTTTCTGTTTTAAGAAAATACTCTTTTCCAGCTCAGACCAAGGCCTGGAAACAATGACCAAACCAATAATGCGCAAGTTGTGGCCTAATTGTGGCCTCTACATATATTTCTCAAAGAACCAGGGCTCTTTGAAGAAATAGCTGATTCCAAGTATGAAATAGAAAATGTACAAGATAAGCCTCAAACACCTTGTTCTGGGACTATGTCAAAAGGACTCAGGAGCCAACTTGAAGAGATTAAAATAATCTTCTAAAACTGAACACTCATACACTGTATGACCCAGCATTTCTACTTACAGGTATGTGTTCCCCAAAAACCTACATATGTACAAGAAAAGAATGTATGTGTCTTCAGAATATCAAACATCTGGGCCAGGCACAGTGGTTCATGCCTATAATTCCAGTGTTTGAGAGGCTAAGACAGAAGGATCACTTGAGGTTAAGAGTTAAAAACCAACACAGGCAATAGAGCAAGACCCCATCTCTACAAAAATACAAAAAACAAAATTATAAAAAATAGAAAAACAAAAATCTAGAAAAAAACCCAAATGAACAGAAGAGTAAATGACTAAACCATGGGCTATTCAAGCAGAGTACTATATAGCAGATAAGGAAATGAATCACAGTGGCTGGGCGTGGTGGCTCACGCCTATTATCCCAGCACTTTGGGAGGCCGAGGCGGGTGGATCACAAGGTCAAGAGGTCGAGACCATCCTGGTCAACAAGGTGAAACACTGTCTCTACTAAAAATACAAAAATTAGCTGGGCATGGCGGTGCGCACCTGTAGTCCTAGCTACTCGGGAGGCTGAGGCAGGAGAATTGCTTGAACCCAGAAGGCGGAGGTTGTGGTGAGCCAAGATCATGCCATTGCACTCCAGTCTGGGTAACAACAGCAAAACTACATCTCAAAAAAAAAAAAAACAAAGAAAATGAATCACACTAATGTGCAACAATATGGATGAACCTTAGCAATATGATATTATAAAGAAAAAATGTGGGTTATTGCCAAAGTCATTGCTTTTTTCAAAAGTGTAAGTTTAATAGGAAAATTTTAACAGAAATGTCTATGAAATTTCCAAAAATAATTACTAGCTAAAAGATAAAAGGAAGCTCTAATACTAAAACATCTGTATATTTTTTAAATCCACTAGTAGCCTGGGCACGGTGGCTCAGGCCTGTAATCCGAGCACTTTGGAAGGCCAAGGCAGGTGGATCACAAAGTCAGGAGTTCAAGATGAGCCTGGCCAACATGGTGGAACCCCATCTAACATAAAGACACACACATGCATATATTCACTGCAGCACTATTGACAATAGCAAAGCTATGGAATTAAACTAGATGGCCATCAGTGGTAGACTGGATAAAGAAAATGTGGTACATAAACGCTATGGAATATTATGCAGCCATAAAAGAGAATGAGATCCTGTTCTTTCCAGGAACATGGATGGCGCTGGAGGCCATTATCAAGACCATCCTAACACAGTGAAACCCCATCTCTACTAAAAATATAAAAATTAGCAGGGCGTGGTGGCACACATCTGTAGTCTTGGCTACTTGGGAGGCTGAGGCAGGGGAATCACTTGAACCCTGGAAATGGAGGCTACAGTGAGCTGAGATAAATCACTGCACCCCAGCCTAGGCAACAGAGTGAGACTCCATCTCAAAAACTCTGCTAGTAAAAAAATATGACTGTAATATAGTTCGGATGTGTATCCCCTTCAAATCTCAAGTTGAAATGTAATCCCCAGTGTTGGAGATGGGGCCTGGTGGGAGGTGTTTGGATCATGGGGGCAGATCTCTCATGAATGGCTTGGTGTCCTCTTCATGATAGTGAGTTCTCACTCCTTGAGTGCAAGTGAGATCTGGTTGATTAAGAGTCTGGAACCTCCCCCTCTCACCATGTGATAACAATGACTCCTTTGCCTTCCACCATGACTGAAAGATTCCTGAGGCCTCATCAAAAGCAGATGCCAGCACCATGTTTCCTGTACAGCTTGCAGAACCTGAGTCAAAATAACAACTCTTTTCTTTATAAATTACCCAGCCTCAGATACTTCTTTATAGCAATGTAAATGGACTAATACAGACTCCTATAATGGCAAGAGCATGTTGGACACACTGATCTTTGATAACATTAAAGCAATTAAGACTCAAAATATGTTAAAAGCAAAATGATGGAATAATACTTCTGTTCTCCAAAACCAAAGACTCACATGTGAATGATTTGTTAAATAAAAGGCACCCATTTGAGAAGGATATTTTTTATAATGTGCTAGATTTCTCATTACCCTTTTTTAACCTATCCCCATCACAGTCTTTCCTACTTAAATCTTATCCTACTATAAACCTAAATATGAATATTCTATTTTGCTTTCTTTTTCTTTTTGTATTAAGAGATAGGGTCTCACTATGTTGCCCAGCCTGGTCTCAACTCCTGGACTCAAGTAATCCTCCTGCCTCAGCTTCCCAAAATGCTGGGGTTACAGGTGTGAGCCACCACACTTGGCCCTGCTTTCCTTAAAACAATATTTTATATTCTGTATTCTATTTAAAATCCAAGTACTCTATTATAGTACCCCAAAAACGTTGTGATAAGTTATTTCACTAGTATCAATATTGAATCTGTATTTGGGCAGAGTTAAATTAAGCAGAATGAAGACTTACAAAAAATAAATTTTCTCTATTCTCTTTTATGTTGTTTATTCCAGATATTCCCAGAGAAAAATATATACACCTATTCTAATGCATAAAAATTAATTTTAAATAGATTCCACAAAACAATAAAATGCCAATTTTTAAAGATTTCTTCCCATATTAGGTAACAAGTGTTTAAAAGGTACCTGCATTTTAAAAAGTAATAAAAAGGTAATTCAATTCAAAAAATAGACACTGTGAGGAGGATTATAAGGTATAAACATATTATCGCCTCTTTTCTTATTTCGACTTTTAAATGCAGGAGGTACACATGTGGGTTTGTTATACAGGTATTTGTGTAATGCTGGATATCTTTTTAGAGTTTATAAATCAGTTGAGAAGACAAAGAATACAGACACAAACAACGAAACAAAAATACAGGAAATACGTGACTAAATGGCAAATAAAAGGCACTAACAAGAAAGCTATAAATTACTTAATACAGAGAAATCACTATGGACCAAGAGTGATTAGAAACAGCATCAGAGATTTTATTACCACCAGGCCTGCTTTACAAGAGCTTCTGAAAGAAGCATTACACATAGAAAGAAACAACCAGTATTAGCCTTTCTAAAAATATACCAAAAAGTAAAGAGCATCAACATAAAGAAGAATTTACATCAACGAATGGATAAAACAGCCAATTAACATCAAATGGCAGTAATCCTAAATTTAAATCGACTAAATCCCCCAATCAAAAGATACAGCCAAAAGCCAACGGCATGTTACATCCAGTCCCATTTCACATGGAAGGATACACAAAGACTCAAAACAAAGGGATGGAGAAAGATTTACCAACCAAATGGAGAGCAAAAATAAATAAATAAATAAAAAGCAGGAGATGCAATTCTCACATCTGATAAATAGATTTTAAAGCAACAAAGATATAGTGGTAAAAGGATCAATGCAACAATAAGAGCTAATGATTCGAACACCCAGATACATAGAGACTTAGACTCCATGAGGCAAAAAATTAATAAGGATATCCAGGACTCGAACTCAGATCCGGAACAAGTAAACTTAATAAATATTTATAGAGCTCTCCACTTTAAATACACAAAATATACATTCTTGTCAATACCACATCACACCTACTCAAAGGTTTAAATGAAATATTGATTGGCCATTATTAATACCCATTTTTTAGAATAAAGCAACATTTCTGTTCACTCTCCCTCTTTTTCTTCCTCTTTCTTCCTCTCCTTCACTCCTTTTTTTTTCTTTCCTTCTCTAAAAACAAAACAAAACAAAGAAAAACTTAACTTTAATGTCTTGAGGATGCTTTCAAATAAGTTACAAGAAGATATTGTAAGTGAAATATAATTTTTTTCAAAGGTAATAAAAGATACTTCAGAATCTGTTGTGAAACAGGGAAACTTGGGAAACCATCTTTACAGAATTAATCCCAGGACAAAACCTTTAGGAAATTTAGAGGAAAATGGATTCTAACATCTATAACCTGACACAAAAGTGCAACATGTTTAGCCACTTTGCATACACCTAGAATTTATATTCAATGATAATCATAATATTTAGAACCCTTGAATGCAGATTGCTCTAAAGCCCATATGATACAAATTTTGACCTTTTAAATCAGGAAAAATTTTTCTTGCAAGCCAGAAGAAAAAGAAACAGCATCTTGGAAGAAATGGAACCTGTGTTTTGTCAGATGAGTAGCAAACATTTAGAAAATAACAGAGGTGAGACAGGATCCAAGATGGCCGAATAGGAACAGTTCTTGATTACAGTTCCCAGCAAAAATGCAGAGTGAGTGATTACCTCATCTCCAAACTAATTTTTACTGCCCACAGACCACAAGATTCCCAGGCAGAAAAGCTCCACGAGCCCCCATTGCAGCCGTTTCAGCCAGTGCAGCAGGTCTCCACACAAAAACTCACACAAATCCGGGCACCATTTCAACTGGCGACTGTAATGCCCGGGAGACAGAGTCTTCGATTCAACTGAAAAAAAGGGGACTGAAACAGGGAGCCACGCCAGGAGGTTCCCAGGCAGAAAAGCGCCACAAGCCCACAGTGCAGCTGTTTCAGCCATCGCATAGGGTCTCCACACAAAAACTCACACAAATTCGGCGTCATTTCAACTGGCGAATGGAATGCCTGGGAGACAAGAGTCGCCCAAGCAACTGAAAAAAAAAAAAAAGAGGGAACTAAAACAGGGAGCAAGGTGATCTGGCTCGGCCAGTTCCACCCCCACAAAGACCAGCAATCTGAAACTCTCTGAATTGAGAGTTTCAGAGCAAGCACACCTAGAACCGAGACAGTCCACCACTGTGGGGGAAGAGCATCCGCCATTACCGAGGCAGTCCACCACTACCTAGGTAGTCCACCACTACTGAGGCAGACAACCATTACCAAGGCAGCCTGCCATTACCAAGTCTGCCATTACAGACACAGACTGCCATTACCGAGGCAGTTCTAACTATACCCCTATAAACAAAACTGCAAGAAGGTTCACACAGCAGCTGGGCAGGGCCCATGGCAGATCAGCAACACCTATGCTGGCAGACTGTGACTAGGCTACCTCCTCACTGGGCAGGGCATCTCTGAAAAAACTTATAACACCTATGACAGAAACTTATAAATAAAGCCCCACCTTCCCGGGACAGAGCACCTGAGAAAAAAAGGCAGTTATGAGTTGCGCTGCAACACACTTAAACGTACCTGCCCAGCAGCTCTGAATGGAATAACAGAGCTCACAGCTCAGCATGTGAGCTCCTATAAAGGATAGACTGTCGAGAGAACGATCCAAGATGGTCGATCGCTAACATCCTGGGATTGCAGCTCTCAGGGAAGGCGCGGAGAACTAGAGGACGCCACACTTTCAGACAAATTCTGGTCGCTCACGGAGCAGAAGATCTCCCAGTGGAGGAAACACACGGGTGGCCAGCGCAACTCTCGTGGCTGGTGCAGCGGTTCCGTGGGCACCTCGGCGGGGCAGCTCTCGGAGCAGAGTAAACAAGGTCGGAGGACCTGCAGGGGTCCCCAGCACGACACCAGAGCCCGGCACAGGGCTGTGACGGCACCTCGGCGCAGAGTAAACGGGACCGGTTCCTTTTCTGACCGAGATTTGGAGCCCCGGGAAGGCAGAGTCACCTACTACGGACACAAGAAGGAAGCCAGACAGGAGAATCCTGGGCAGAAAAGCACCATCAGTTTTAACGCTGCTGCTCTGGCCCTGGGAACTCACAACCTGGACGCCCACTCAAGAGGCCTAATCTGAAAGTTGGTAATTTCAAAGACTACAGGAGGATAAAGTTACAATCATGGGAAGAAACCAGCGTAAAAAGGCTGAGAATACTCTAAGTCAGAACGCCTCTCCCTCTAAAGATGATCACAGTTCCACATCAACAATGGAACAAGGCTTGATGGAGAACGAGCGCATCCTGATGACAGAATCACTCTTCAAGGAATGGTTAATAACAAACTTCAGTGAGTTAAAAGACCATGTTGTAGCCCAACGTAAAGAAACTAGGAACTTTGAAAAAAGGTTTGATGAAATCCTATTGAGAATAGACAACTTAGAGAGGAGTATGAGTGAATTAATGGAACTGAAGAATACAATACAGGAACTCGGAGAAGTATGCACAGGTTTAAACACTCGAATTGTTCAAGCAGAAGAAGGGATATCAGAGGTCAAAGTCCAACTTAATGAAATAAAACGTGAAGAAAAGATTAGAGAAAAAAGGATAAAAAGGAATGAGCAAAGTCTCCAAGAAATGTGGGACTATGTGAAAAGACCAAATTTACGTTTGATAGGTGTACCTGAATGCGACGGAGAGAATGAATCCAAGCTGGAAAATACCCTTCAGGATATTATTCAGGAAAATTTTCCTAAACTAGCAAAGCAGGTCAACATTCAACCCCAGGTAATACAGAGAACACCACAAAGATATTCCTCAAGAAGAGCAACCCCAAGGCACATAATCGTTAGATTCACCACGGTTGAAACGAAGGAGAAAATACTAAGGGCAGCCAGAGAGAAAGGTCAGGTTACCCACAAAGGCAAGTTTATCAGACTTACAGCAGATCTCTCAGCAGAAACTCTACAAGCCAGAAGAGAGTGGGGGCCAATATTCAACATCCTCAAAGAACAGAACCTTCAGCCCAGAATTTCATATCCAGCCAAACTAAGCTTCACAACTGAAGGAAAAATAAAATCTTTTATGAACAAGCAAGAACTCAGAGATTTTATTACCACCAGGCCTGCTTTACAAGAGCTTCTGAAAGAAGCATTACACACAGAAAGAAACAACCAGTATTAGCCTTTCTAAAAATACATCAAAAAGTAAACAGCACCAACATAAAGAAGAATTTTCATCAACGAATGGAAAAAACAGCCAGTCAACATCAAATGGCAGTAACCCTAAATTTAAATTGACTAAATCCCCCAATCAAAAGACACAGCCAAAACCCAATGGCATGTTACATCCAGACCTGTTTCACATGCAAGGATACATAAAGACTCAAAACAAAGGGATGGAGAAAGATTTACCAACCAAATGGAGAGCAAAAATAAATAATAAATAAATAAAAAGCAGGAGCTGCAATTCTCGTATCGGATAAAATAGATTTTAAAGCAACAAAGATATAGTGGTAAAAGGATCAATACAACAATAAGAGCTAACGATCCTAACACCCAGATACGAAACTTAGATTCAATGAGACAGAAAATTAATAAGGATATCAAGGACTCGAACTCAGATCCGGAACAAGTAAACTTAATAAATATTTATAGAGCTCTCCACTTCAAATACACAAAATATACATTCTTGTCAATACCACATCACACCTACCCATAAGTTTAAATGAAACATTGATTGGCCATTATTAATACCCAAGTTTTTTCAAAATAAAGCAATATTTCTATTTACTCTCCCTCTTTCTCTTCCTCTTTCTTCCTCTCCTTTACTTATTTTTTTTTTCTTTCCTTCTCTCAAAAAAAAAAAAAAAAAAAAAAAAAAGATAGACTGTCTCCCCAAGTAGCTCCCTGATCCCCGTAGAGCCAAAGAGTCCCCTCATACATTGGCGGGTATCCTTCTGGGACAAAGATAGCAGAAGAAGAAACTGGCAGCAACTCTTACTGTTCTGCAGCCACTGCAGGTGATCCCCAGGTGAGAAGGGCTTGGAGTGAACCTTAGCAGTCCTACAGAAGAGGGACCTGAATGTTAGAAGGAAAACTAAGAAACAGAAAGAAATAATTTCATCATCAACAAACTGGACGTCCACTCAGAGACCCAATCTGAAAGTCACCAACTATAAATACCACAGGGAGACAAATCCACAAAGATGGGAAGAAACCAGTGTAAAAAAGATGAAAGCACCCGAAACCATAATGCCTCTCCTCCACCCAGAGATCACAACTCCTCACCAGCAAGGGAAGAAGACTGGATGGAAAATGAGTCTGATGAACTGACAGAAACAGGTTTCAGAAGATTGGTAATAAGAGATTTCTCTGAGCTAAAACAACATTTTCTAACTCAATGCAAAGAAACTAAGAACCTAGAGAAAAGATTTGATGAAATGCTAATGAGAATAAACAGCTTAGAGAGCAATACAAATGAAATGATGGAGCTGAAAAACACAACACGAGAACTTCATTAAGCATACACACATTTCAATAGCCAAATTGGCCAAGCAGAAGAAAGGATATCAGAGACTGAAGATCAACTCGATAAAATAAAATGAGAAGGCAAGATTAGAGAAAAAAGAGTGAAAAGAAATGAACAAAACCTCCAAGAAACATGGGATTATGTGAAAAGACCTAATCTATGTTTGATAGGTGTACCTGAGTGTGACGGAGAGAATGAATCCAAGGTGGAAAACACTTTTCAGGATACTACGCAGGAAAACTTCCCCAACCAAGCAAGGCAGGCCAATATTCAAGTCCAGGAAATACAGTGAACACTACAAAGATATTCTTCAAGAAGAGCAACCCCAAGGCACATAATCATCAGATTCACCAGGGTTGAAATGAAGGACAAAACACTAAGGGCAGCCAGACAGAAAGGTTGGGTGCCCACAAAGGGAAGCCCACAGACTCACAGAGAATCTCTTGGTAGAAACCCTACAAGCCAGCAGAGACTGGGGACCAATATTCAACATCCTTAAAGAAAAGAACTTTCAACCCTAAATTTCATATCCAGCCAAACTAAGTTCCATAAGTGAAGGAGAAATAAAATCCTTTGGGAACAAACAATTGCTTAGAGACAGCATAACCACCGGGCCTGCTTTATAAGAGCTCCTGAAAGAGGCACTAAACATACAAAGGAACAACCAGTACCAGTCACTCCAAAAACATAGAAAATGGTAAAGAGCATCAACACAATGAATAAACTGCATCAACTAATGGGCAAAAAAACCAGTGAGCATCAAAATGGCAGTAGCAAATTCACACATAACAATATTAACCCTAAATATAAATGGGCTAAATTCCCGAATCAAAAGACACAGACTGGCAAATTGGATAAAAAGTCAAAACCCATCGGTGTGCTGTATCCAGGAAAACCATCTCACATACAACAGGCTCAAAATAAAAGGATGGAGGAAGATTTACCAAGCAAATGGAGAGCAAAATAAAAAGCAAGAGTTGCAATCCCAGTCTCTGATAAAACAGAGTTTAAACCAACAAAGATCAAAAGAGACATAGAAAAACATTACATAATGGTAAAAGGATCAATGCAACAAGAACTAATAATCCCAAATACATACCCACCCAATACAAGAGGACACAGATACATAAAGCAAGTTCGTAATGACTTACAAAGAGATTTAGACTCCTACACAATAATAGTGGGAGACTTTAACACTCCACTGTCAATATTAGACAGATCAATGAGACAGAAAATTAACAAGGATATCCAGGACTTAAACTCAGACCTGGGCTAAGCAAATCTAATAGACATCTACAGAACTGTCCACCCCAAAACCACAGAATATACATTCTTCTAAGCACCACATCAAACCTACTCTAAAATTGACCACATAATTGGAAGTAAATCACTGCTCAGCAAATGGAAGAGAAGAGAAAACATAACAAACAGTCTCTCAGACCACAGCACAATCAGGTTAGAACTCAGAATTCAGAAACTAACTCAGAACCGCACAGCTTCATGGAAACTGAACAACTGGCTCTTGAATGTTGACTGGATAAACAATGAAATGAAGGCAGATATAAAGATTTTCTTCCAAACCAACAAGAACGAAGATACAACATACCAGAGTCTCTGGGACACATTTAAAGCAGTGTCTAGAGGAAAATATATAGAATTAAATGCCCACATGAGAAGCAAGGAAAGATCCAAAATCGACACCCTATCATCAAAATTGAAAGAGCTAGAGAGCAAGATCAAAAAAACTCAAAACATAGCAGAAGGTAAGAAATAAGTAAGATCAGAGCAAAACTGAAGAAGACAGAGACACAAAATCCCTTAAAAAAAATCAATAAA